TCATGGCCAAAACCATTTAGAAATTAATTCTGATCACGTGTATGTCCATCTTTGTAGGATTTTTGAAGGCTGCTTGTGGACGTTGCAAACGTTTTGATAAAACGAATATGAATGAAGTGATTTAGTCAATATCAAGCGCAGACAAATTTATATATTTATTGAAGATTTAATTCTACCATCGCGCGCAATATAAATTTTATTTTGTCCGCGTGTTGACCGCACTCGTTCAAAGATTGCGACGATGCGAGCATAACGCAATTTTATTTCACATTGTTTCATATATATTTATGCATATGCTTCAATTTGATGTTTTGCAAAGTTATTATAACCGCGCAAATAGTATTTGAAAATGTATTTTCCAGATATTTCTAAACTCGACCTGTCATGCAGACGTGATGTCATTACTGTTGAAACATTTGAATGACAATTTATTTATTTATTTTTTTTTATTTTTTTGCTATAGAAGGTTAGCTTTTGTTAGATGCATAACAAGCAAATATGCTTAAAATTGATGAATGATGAATGCTAGCAATTTTCGCAAATGCACATATACACATGTACGTGAATACATTCGTTAAGCAGTGTGAAAATATTTGATCGCTTTTTAATTGTGCGTTAAACTTAAAATATGCAAATAAATCAAAGCAAACATTAACTGTTGGCAGTTATTGCTATTGAATCTCCCATGAATATGCATTCATAGTGCATATGTGATATGTGTGTGTCCATGCTTGTGCATAATATCAAATCAAAGGTTAACAATGTATTATAAAATCTATCTTTCTCTTTCTCTCTCTCTCTCTCTCTCTCTCTTTCTTTCTCTTTCTCTCTCTCTCTTCATATTTACGCCATCCTCCCTTTTTCGCTTTTAACTCCATTTGTCATTCGTTTGCTTTTTAAACCGACTATTAAGAGTTTAGAGACAAATCGTTTCTCTCCTTTGCATCACAAATAAGGCTAAAATCTTTTTAGGGTTAAAATGTTAGTTTGTTACATACATAAAGCTTATATGTATATGCGTGTCTCTTTGTCTGTTTGTTTGTTTGTTTATATATATGTTTATGTATGTGCATATGTTCCATATATTTTTGGGTAATAAATTTTCCAGAGAAATTTCAGCTTTAAAGGCATAAATCTCTTTCCACTTTAGACTTCTAAAAAGCTATGGTTAGCACTTAAGTAGCGCATTATATATGCATAACCGCATATATATATATATATATATATATATATATTATGCAGAACACATGTCCTGCATATGTGCACGATTAGTTAGGTGTTAGCATATGTATGTATGTGTATTAGCTACCTAAACAAAGAGACCTAATTTACATAGAAATTACATAAGCATTAAAATCTGTTCATACAAACATTCATGTAATAATAAATTTCTCCTTTTTTTTTCATCTTAATAGTCTCCCGTAGTCCTGTATTTCATGCGTGAATAAATCATTCAATAAAAAAAAAAAAAAAACAGAAGAATTTATAGAATTTACACAAGAGCCTGCTATCTTGTGCTGTTTTTATACCCATCACTGAGGGATGACTGTTATATCTATTTTGTTGAAATGTTGGCAGCACTCGAGAAGGAAGTTTCACAGATTCCACAAAGTACATATACTCTTTGATCAGCATCAAATACTGAATTGTTTAAGGTATGTCCGTCCGTCCAACAACTAAGCTATCTACTTGAAATTTGGCAGAAACATTGGAAGTTCTTGTGCGCAGGTTGTTATTCAAAAAAGGTCAAATTACTCGAAGGACAGGCTTACAACAATACCGCGTAAGCCGAGAATACCTCCATTTTCTAGAAGTAATAAAAACGTGGGTTTTTGTTCATTGCTCGTAAGGTGGATCAGATAAATCTACAAAACTTTAATGGTACATTCCATGCGCGAAAGATGGAAAAAATCGGCCACGCCTAAGCAATCTTCTGGTGTGTCAAAATTTCATTTCATTCCTTTATAGTCGCGACAAGCAAGCTTCGAAAACTCCTTGGCTGCCGTCAAAGGGAAAAAAAAAAGACATGCCCATATTTGATTGGCCGCGGCCACCAATTCCTCTGCCTCCTTCTCCTTTCCCACTTCTCGCCTTTTCCACGTCTCTGCTTTCCGGCCTTCCGACTGACCGTTACAGTGTTACGCAAATAGGGGACTTCCCCTGAATGATTGCTTCAGAAAGATCATATTTCTCCAAGATGGTTCTTTCAATTGAAAGTCTCCTTGCATTAGGCTCGCGTCTGATGATTCGAAAAAGTAAACAATGTAATATAAATGCGTAAATATGAAGGGATAATATGAGCATGATATTACGAGTAAACAATGATTATATTTATTGAAACAAATTTTTAGCATATATTTGTACAGATCTTAAGCTATTTCCAAAATGTTTCAAATAATTTTCTTAGTTTACTTACGTATACTAAATAATTGATTACAATTTTGAAAGCAATTTATTTATGGTCGGACAAAGTAATTAAAAATGAAAATTGAAAAGAATTTCTTTCTCAAATCTTCTATTAAAGCGAAATAATTATGAAATTACGTGTACACATATACACACGAACAGTCCCGGAATTTGGGTTTTTTTTTTTTTTCGATTTAATAAAGAAAAATAGTATCGATTTTTTTTTTTTTTTCATTACATCGAACGATTTCTAGACTAAATTTGTTTAGTATTTTGTGGTGACTATGCAGATAATGATATATTTGTAGGTGTTGCGGCGAGACAAAGATATTATTCAAGTTTTTCCTTTGTTGTTTTTTATGTATTTTTTTGATTTGAAAAACGTTTCGGTATTTTTCAATTATTTTTCGATTTATTTAAACAATGTTGAGCAGTTTTGTGGTCAATAGAAATTTTCAACTCATATTGAACGCTATTGATTGGTTGTCTTCCTCTTTTTATTCTCCATAGTATCCGGTATTATTTCCATACAGACCATTTGTTGATATAAAGTCTTACCGATAGCTGCGGGATTAAGGGTAACTACAACATCGGCAGCTTCCAAAGCTTTAATTTTATAGTTGGCGCCACCCTTACCGCCCGATATAATGGCTCCGGCATGACCCATACGACGGCCAGGTGGTGCTGTTAATCCGGCAATAAAACTGACAACAGGTTTACGACATTCACCGCTGTTATGTTCAATTAAAAATTCAGCGGCCCTCTCTTCGGCGTCGCCACCGATTTCTCCAATTAATACGATTCCTTTACATTCAGGATCATCTAAGAAGACCTCTAAACAATCAATATAGTTGGTGCCGTTGAAAGGATCACCTCCTATGCCGATACACAACGTCTGACCCAAACCATAGAAGGTGGTTTGATTAACGGCCTCATAGGTTAGGGCGCCAGAGCAGTGCAAATTGGGCATAATGCCCGGCCATATACATAAGAGAGGCATTGTCGGAGTTGTGTCACGCTCTGGCACTATAATACCGGGACAATTAGGACCAACTAAACGACTTTTATCTTGATCCATAAGATAATTTTGAATTTTTATCATATCATGTTGTGGTATACCTTCGGTAATGACTACAATTAATGGTATTTCTGCGTCGACCGCTTCCAATATCGCTTTAGCAGCATTTGCCGGTGGAACGTATATTATGGTCGCATGAGGTTGCGTGGCAGCTTTCGCCTCTTCTACACACTTGAATACGGGTAAACCCAAATGTACTTCGCCTGCTTTCTTTGGCGAAACTCCACCCATCAGTTTAGTACCGTATTCCAGGGCTGCTTTGCAATGAAATGTGGCCGTCTTGCCTGTAAAACCTTGACATATAACCCTAGTATCTTTATTTAAAATTAGATTTGGAATTGTTTTCGCGTAACAATCACTTGTCTGCGAACGTCGCGACGTTATCAGCAATTTTTGAAAGGACTCTAAAAAACTTCGATTCAGTACACGTTTTACATTTATAAAGCATGACATGGCTTTGGTTGATGATTGGCGATTGAATAATGATTTAACAAGTATTATTATCGAAAATTTTATTATATAAAAAAACAAAAAAAGAAAAGATTATTATCTTTTATGCAAAATATATCGTTTTATTTATATTATTTTTTTCAATGTATTTATTATACGTCGTGTATTCAAAATTTTCTTTATTAAACTGATATTATAATGAAAATTTTTTTTACGTATCTTTTTAGGTAAAGAATTTGACATTTGAAAGGAATTTTTCGTTCAGATTTCCATTGACAATTTAAAACTTCAATCTGTCGACGAACAATTGTTCATTTGTTAAAGTGACCAGTCGCAAGAATATATATATATGTATATATATATATTTATATGTATTTTTATTATTATTTTTTTGGCTTTCAATCTTAAATGCTTTGCCCTGATTGTCACTGCGTAGAAAATTGAAAATTTTAACGTTCATTGACTGTAAAATCACTCAATATAGGATAAATTACAGTGAAAGGAAGGCGTTTGTGCTTAAATTGTTTCAAGGCCTAAGTGATAAATAGATTTTAAGGAATTTTTGTGAAATGCTTATCCTTAGATATTATACGAATCGTATTCGTTCATGTCGTGCATCCTTGGAAAAATTTACGGCACATCACACAGAACAGTAAAAGGGATCTACACATGGGATATCATTTTTTTTTTTCCAAACTCCCACACATCCACGCTCACGAAAATAAGGATAAAACTTCGATTGCAAAAATTAATAATGATTTTAAAAATTTACATTTCCTTTTAATACGGAATACGGAAATGATAAAGATAGTAAGAAGAATTTTGAAGAATTTGAATTTAAAATTCAACTATGAATTTTCATATGATATTTAAAGCGATTGCAATAAAAGTTAATGTTGTAGTGCTTCAAGGGAACTGTTTTAAGGCTGAATAGAGAGGAGAATAGTAGAATAGAAATGAAGATTGTTTTTCATCGGCAATCATACTCGTAATGAAAGAAATGAAAGGTTTCGTAATGCATGCAAATATTTTCTTTATCGTATAGAGATGTAAGAAAAGCGAAGAAAAGTTAAGAAAAGAAATAATAGTCATTTCTTAAATTTACACTTTTAATTATTTTTAATTTTTAATTGGTTTCTTTCTCCTGCTTTTTTACAGACAACATCTAATTATTGGGGCTTACTTTGTATTTTCACTGTCCATTCTCGCTTTTTCTTTACTTATATTTCTTTACTTGTTGTACATTTGTTTAATTCGTTTCTATTTTCGTGACTATCACGAATAAGTAAACCTATGCTTACCCAATGGGGGAGGAAATGTTATTGAGAAGTAAGCCCATAATCGGATATCTACTTATTTCTTAGTGTTTCTGTGTAAAGCCAAAAAAAAAAAAAAAAAAAACAAACCTGGTCATCCTACTACTAACGGAATGGAAAAAGTTTCTATTTTACTATAGTTTATAAATAATATAAGCATTAGTTTATATATAGCTCGCGGCTAAACTCAGCCAAACGTAGCATAATATAATACATAATTGTTTGATAAAAACATCGTGACAACTATGCTACCTGTAGTGTTAATAATCGAGAAACACTGCACTATTTGTTTTGTATCAAGCTTATAAGTATGACTTTAAAATTTTGCATTTTGTAGAGAGCGATAAAAGGCAATTAGAATGTAAAGTGAAAAAAAGAGGGAGAGAGAGAAAGATAATTAAATAGAATAAGCACAAAGTTCGAGCCCATGGCGAGTTTGTTTGAGTGCATGCACAGCATTCCATAATTTTATTAGCTTCCATTATTGTTGGCTGTAGTAAAATAAAGTTCTTCGCCTCTTTACGGGACAAAAACAATAGAAACGCAAACATATTAAATTTAGTTATACCGGGCTGTGTTCCGTATAAGTGTACTGTGATTTTTTGCGCAATTTTATTGCAGTAGTTAACAAGAAAAACTTTAAATGGCCTAGAAATGAGTTTAAAATTGTTTTTAATTTTCACTTTATAGTCCAAAATTTGTTAGTTACTTGGCAATGGTACACGTAAAAGGATAACGAATGAATATTGAGTAGATAGGTAAATAATGAGAAGGCAATAAACGTACACGCAATTAAATAATGTAACGATTTACATTCCGTGAGAATCGTTAGATGCGATGATATCCAAAAAAATAGACCTATGTCCTTCGAATTCAGTAAAATTGATTTCTTTAACATTTTTCAATTATGAACTAATTCTCATCGTGAAATAGTGAAAATTCAATCTTTTGATCGCATAAAGAAACAGTTTTCATCGAAACGATTATACAGAGAGAGGGTTCAAAATAGTGCCGCAGTGGACTGATCACAACTATTTTCAAAGTATTGTAAAGCATTCGGTTATACGAAATATCGTTAAAACATTTTAAAATTACAGTTTGCAGAGTGATGAACACAAGAAAAAGAAGACGGACCGACAAGCTAAGATCGATTCAGAATATGACTCGAAGTCATGATCAGTATTAATGTTATATGGGATCTCGTTAGCCGACAAATTTGTTTAAAACAAAGAAAAAAAAAAGAAGACTGTTCTACGCGTAACGTAGTGGCGAACGAAACAACTGAACTAAATTTAGCAAAGCATTTCTGCAGCGCATCATATATACAGCGAAAAGGTAATTGCGCTCCGGGTAGTGGCGAACAAAACAACAGAACTAAATCTTGCAAAGCATTTCTGTAGCTCGTCATATATACACCGAAGAGGTAAATGTGGGGGGGTAACTGCATCTGCCGAAATTTCGTTTTTCAATTATAATTATCTCCAGTATAGGTTTAATTCTGATACAAACTTGAATATTTTAGCTTACGGGAGCAATTATGGAAACAGTTGTTCAATCATATTTATAAATATGTTAGTCATTGCTTCACTATTCAATTTAAAATAATATTCAGTTTTGCTTTGTCGTGTGTGTCTTATACATTCATTTATTGCTCTAACAATTGGTCATTTAGTTTATCAGTATTTTAAAGTATATTAGAAATAAAGAATTACTATATGTATATACATATATATATATACATTTGTAATAATGTTCTCGGTACTATTCATATTTGATTTGTACTTGAAAATAGTTAAAGAAATAACTTCCTTCATATTTCATTCTCTTTAATGGACTTTTTATGTCATTTATTCTATAGTTCTTCCTTGTTTGCTTTTTTGCCCTCACACAAAAAGTGTTGAAATGGATTTAATATGTTCTTTGAATTTTTCTGCTGGCCATTTATATGTATGACATTTATATATATATATATATATATATATATATATA